ATTATATGCTTTCATCAACTTTGGTGCATTTGAGTTTTAGTGCCAGCTACTGTGACGTGGGCGCCGGGCGGTTTTGGCTCAAGCGGATGTGATATTCATGTCAGGAGGTCAAACTACCCCAACGTTCAAGTTTTCAGCGATTTTGGTGATTTAGGTGTTTTGGCGCCTAGCGCCTGTGGCGCGGGCGCCAGGCAGTTTCGGGCCAAGCGGATGTGATATTCGTGTTCAGGAGGTCGAATCTACCCCTGTAGGCAAATTTTTAACCAAATCTGCCCTTGGAGAAAAAACTCGATGAAACAAGAGTGGTTTTTGAAGAATGGGGTAGGAATAGTTCAATAGTGCCAATTTTTTCTGTCGTAATATTATTGAGCGAGATGACGCGTCGCAACCGCGCGCGTCTATGTCTTGAGGGCCACACTTGATCACAAATGAATTAATGGTGCAAGCTGAATGAAAAAAGCCAACAATATGACGTTATGTGATTATTGTACGCATTTAACAGTTCTCTTTTCTAACAGCCTTCACAACGAGCCGTGGCTATCAAGAAAATTCCCCGCGCTTTTGCAGCGCATACGTTGGCGAAACGGTCGTTACGTGAAGTGCGCATACTACGGGAACTTCGACATGAAAACATAATCGCCGTACTCGATATGTTCACTGCCGAAGGCACTCATGTGAGTTTCGTTCATTGTCAAGCACAGTCTAGGAGGGTCGTGCTCGCGCTGGAGACAGTGGGCCCATTCCGCGATAATCAGAAAGGCGGAGACTCACTTCCCTTGCATTTCACTGACGCCCCTTATTTTACCGTATTAGCGTAAGGGGAGTACCGATGAAAAGGACACAGTGTTTGTGAGTCTCCTCCTACCCGATTATCGCGGGGTGTTTTTTCGAGAAAGTTTGAAAATCAGAGGTGAATGGCGCCACCTATTTGAAGGGCCGTGATATCTACATGGTAATGGACCTTATGGAAACTGATCTGCATCAGATCATTCACAGTCGCCAAGCGCTCGTCGAACAGCACTTTCAGTATTTTCTCTACCAGCTCCTCCGAGGACTAAAGGTGAGCGCATCGAAGGGTTTCATAGGTTCATGAAGGACCAAATGCTCATCCGTCGCCTGAGCACGGTCCGATTTCAGTATCTGCACTCGGTTGGTATTGTACATCGAGATCTGAAGCCTTCAAATCTTCTGGTGAACGGCGATTGCTTGCTTCGGATAGCTGATTTTGGTATGGCACGGTCCACGGAGCAGACGAGGCCTACCACTGACAAATTTCTCACGGTCAGCCGATCTTCATAGATTTTATTGTCTGTGTAGCTGAGAGGCTAAGGAGGGTGGGAGACTTCTCGAGGGACTATTTTCGAGAACCACTTGGAAGAGAGGGTCGTCCATCCTTGAGCTTGTAGTTAATGCGGTTTGCCACAGGTTTTTGAATAGAGGCCTCGAAGAAAAGGTGGAGATGGGTGTTTACCAGTTCAAGTCTGTTCGCAACATCGCTCGAAAAATCCCTTCAGGGCGGTCGTATTTGATCGAGGGTTTATATGGCCCTGACAGGAGTTTTGAGGCTATATGCATCGCAGGGGAAAATCTCCTACTTTCCGCTAGGGTAGCCTTCATTTCTGAGGAGAAAGGCATGTTCCGGGTTTCACCATTGTACATTCTTTTTCATACGTGAATGGCTCCCTCCACTTTCCCTCCTTTGAGATTACAGCTCATCGCAGCCCGATCAAAAAGATCCTCTTCTGGTGCATTGCCCGTCCTTCTAGTACCATAATCACAAACAGTTTCAAATGTTTGCAGCAGTACGTCGCTACCAGGTGGTATCGTGCTCCTGAACTCCTATTCTCAATGATCGATTACGATACCAAGTAAGGATCCTCGCTTTTATTTTGATGAATCAATAAATCGTTAATGTCCTTTGAGGGTAGACATGTGGTCAGCTGGATGTATATTCGCCGAGATGATCATGCGACGACAAATCTTCCCGGGTAAAGATGGAGTGTCCCAAGTGAAGATGATTGTGTACTACTTGGGAACTCCTGAAGAGCGAGTGAGTCACACCGATAAGGTCCATGCATATGTTCTGAGAAGGTTACTGTTCAGGTGATGTCACAGATCACATCAGACATTGTCCTGGGATGGATAGAAAGCTGTGGGAAGAAAGAGCCGCTTCCTTGGTCGGCGATTCTTCCAAAAGCAAGTGCTGAAGCTTTGGAAGTGATTGATAGGGTGAGTCCCCCTTCAACAAAATTCTACACCGACAAACCAACAAATTAAGGGCATATTTCGCGATAATTGGATGGGCGGGGACATACAACCACTATCCAGACGGAGACACAACAATTTCTTCTTCAACAAGGAAGGCATAGTTGTGTCTCCGCCCACCCCCGCTCGATTATCGTGGAATGCGTGTTTTTTAATCTCGTTGTTTCCAAAAGTGCTATGCCGGATAATCTGCTTTTTCAGTTACTTCAAATCTCGCCGTGGAATAGATCGAATGCCGAGGAAGTCCTCGCTCTACCTTATCTCGCCACATATCACGATCCAGCATTTGAACCCACCTGTCCACTAAAGTGAGTTTCGTAGCGTTTACATAACACCTCCTCAGAATATAATCAGTAATTGAAAGCTGCTCTCACTGCAGGATAGCACTTCTGCTCAGACTACAGGGGCCACTACGCGCGAGCATTATTCGTATAAAATGCATAGAGAATGACATTAGAGTCAAAGAATTCATGCTATTCGTGTTGGCGCGCAGACGGGCTACAGTTGTATCATTTCATGAAACGCTCCTCCTGCCCCACCAATCACAGAGAGAATGGCTGCCTAGCAATGGATCGCCCCAACTTCTTCACCATACACCAAGCACGTCACTCGCCCTCGCGTAAGATTTTTTCGAAAAACGAACCCTATTCCTCTCGCTTTGTTCCTCTGCATGCGATTCCTCTTCCCTTTCCCCCCCATCTCACTCTCCCTATCATCATTAGATCCCTTCCCCGAACTTCCCCCTTTTTTGACGAAAGTATGTCGAGATTTGCAACGATCTTGTTCCGATCTGTTTTCATCGCACGGGTTGTGTCCTCGATCTCAGATGTAGGTAAACTCATGTGACGAATCGCGACGTGTAACATACCGCGAGGATGAAATCAACAACGACACCCCGCTCGAGAAAATTTTTCTCGAACAGTCCCAGTACTCACTTTCTCTAAGAGCGACTAATACAAGGAACACTATTCTCTTGGGTCAAGTTATCGAATTTCTTTCTTCCTCCTGTGCGGGGGTTCCCCCAAGCGGTCCGCACGCTGCTTTGCCCATACCGATCAAGAGTGTCGGATGTAGAGGACACAAGCCTCGAAGCCCAATTAAAAATGATTCATCTTGTCTTAAGACTGAATCCCAGATAGGTGCAAAGTCATGTCATCTTATAACTGCTTAGACGCTATCCACCAGTTTCCTTAAAATCGACCGCTTTCAGGGCCCGATTCGACGCCGACGCTATAGAAGAGCTACCCGTCAACAAACTGACTCGAAACATCTGTGCGTGTTCATCGAAGCCAGCCTAATTTTTGATGCAAATTCGTGCGCGGCGATATGCAACAAGTGAACCCGCCGGGCCATTCCGCAATTCGCTATCATCTTTCTTGGAGGTTACGCGCAGCGCGACTAACAAAAGCGTGCGGGTCGGTATGATCGCATGTCACGCGCGCATTTCAAACATTACAAGCGGTATTGCCTCGCGCGATTTTCGCACCACCAGGTCATAGTTCAATCACGCAGCCCCAGGATACACATATATGTCGCTCTGGTCAAATTAGCCTGGAAGTATGTTATAGTTTTGTCGCGCAACACGGATCTTGCCGACCCGTACAACGCGTCTATCTCCCGAGCCGGCCAACGATGACAGTATTTTAATTTTTCCCAGTAGTGTCAGCCATTAGAAAGGTTTCAGTGGTGTTCCGTAGCTCGCATTCTTGAGTCTTCACCAAGTGGAGAGATTGAGCTACGGACGTTAGTCGATTACCCGGGGAATGAGGTTTCTTTTAGTCGGGCTGTGATCTGTCTAAATTTTCTTGCGCAAACAAGTCCAAGCCCAGCTGTCGCCCAATTCGTAGACTGCGCGCCGAAATCCTTTAGCCTGGGCGGGCTCTAGTGTATCGGTGTCTGTCGCAGTTCTAGCCTCGCGCCCATCTACATGCATAACTAGCCTTGAAGACGCACCCCTGATCTGATCCATATGCGAGACCGTTACACTTGGCTCATTTTGGCCTTCCCTGGCACCGGATCAAAAAGAGAGGCAGAATGGCTATCAGTATCCGCCCATTTTCTTCATTAATTTATCGCGGAAAGTGTCTTTACTCGCAGCCAAAACTTTTTGTGAGTTTGTTGTGATTTAAGTAGTATCGGCTGTTTACTTGCTTTGTTTGTATAACATCACGTATTGTTTTGTCATACTAACGCCTTTGTTTTGTTAGATGATTGCTCAGTCTTCTGGTGCCATGTGCCGTGTTTTAAAGTGTCTAATCTGGTCCAAATTGCTCATACAATTGCTCTAGTCAAGAACATTCTTATACTGGTATAGCACTGCTAATGATACGTGCTGATAAACTATGTGATACATATTTGAGTTGCTTATAAACATTACACAAAAGGCTTGTACTAACATTTTGTGAGGTTTCATTCCGTTCAGTCTTACTTGTTTTTCACATCGTCTTTACAATGGTAGATAGTGAATTGCCCAACGATGATCAGTACCCTTCGGATACGCCATGCGCCTGCATTCCATTGAGATTCGAAACCTCATTGGAACTCCTCCCTCCTTGCTGTTCTAGGAGAGACGCACCAGCGAGAATGGCACAATGGTGGTGAGTCTCCGCCCCTGAATTATCGCGAAATGTACACCCTTCAAGAGTCCGAAGTATGTCTCAGAAGTCATTGGTTTGGTAGTTCCTCTACACCTACTTGACTCTTCGAGAAGGTTATCTTCTCTTTATCCGTTCTTTCTGCGCACCGATCCAGTAAATTCTGAAGTCATATGAGAATAGTATGTCAATTCTCATGAAGATTCTCCCCTGTACTCCTGCAGCTTTCAGCCTTCCCACTACCCACAGCCTCTCCCACCCATACAGCGTGTGATTTGTTCCCGTCCATCTGCACTCGTTAGTCAACTTAGTCGCCGTTTTTGGGGCTATGTTCGGAACTAGCACCTATCTTGAGAATGGTTGAAGAAGAAGACTAGATCAGTCGGGTCGCCGGTCCTCCAACAGGAAAGGATCGATGAAGACGGTCCGTATCCCATCCTTCTCACTAAATTACCGATTCTCCAACAACGCTGTCCAAAGACCTGAAAACACACAGGTCGCTGAACATCTTCTATGGGTCTACCGGGTCCTGCAACTTGGATCTGCTATGTTGGAACCATTCGTGCATCAACCCTCCCACATGAATTACTGGAAGTGGAACTTTCGGCCATTTTCAGGATGACTGCAGGGCGTGGCCCTTCTCTGGTGAAGTTATTCGAGGATGTTAGATCACTTTACTGGTCCGCTTACGTTCATGTGGTTCGTTCCACTTTTCGTCGAACGAAAACGCCTCCGTCGTAACCGTTAAGAGCAACAGGGGAGCCGGTTATAGGAGCAAATCGGACTGTTCTTTCGTCTACGCATGATCACCATAAAGCTTGAACGCTTTGAAGGACACCTATTTTGTCAAGTGCAGTGCTTCAGACAGGGAAGCTGCATTGACCGACTTTCGATCAATTCCCCATACAGCACTGGGAATTACACAATAATTATTCTCCTGGGGACCTCCTTCAACGCATTTGATTTTGAGCTCTCACTTTTAATTCGATTCGAACCGTGCGCTTCTGTCAATATAATCTGTAATTGAAGAAGGAAAAAATTGTATTGTCTGAGGACCCATTAACCGGATGCCGGGTTTCGGGCCTCATTGGATATGCTGTTTCATACGTAGCATTTTTGAACCTCCTCTTTTTAGTTGAGAGAGAGGAAGCATACTAGACTATGTTGAAGGTTTATTCAATAAAACCATAGTGATGATATTCGATATCGCTAAAATGTGACCAAAATTCTTCCTTTGCAGAACCACCCCTCCCTCTCCTCTTCCGGACGATGACTGTCAGCCGTCTACGAGTCACACTAATGATCCAAGGTGAGTCTGCTGAGACCTGGCAGTAAAAATACTGTCGACAGAAAACCGCGTGATACACGTTGCGGCGACGCCCACAAACGAACTAGTATTTATTGGCTAGTTCACTTCACGTTCAATCGATTAGGTCTTGGTGCGTCACCGCAACGTGGACCTCCCGACCGACACCCAGAATTTTGTCTGATTACCCAGATCGAAGTGTAAGACAGACATGGATCCCAAAGCAAAATTAGGTAGACAAAAGCCAGCTTCGAGGGTACCCTACCTACATCATTTCAGTGACGAGATTACGCCACACAGTTCACTATCGAATTCGTCCGCTTTCACACAAATTCGACAAGGTACTGCAACGCCGAACACCTCGGCAGCCACCACACCTCGTTGTGATGACTCGGAACATTCCAGTGCTACCGTACTCGAAATGGACACCAACAGGTCAGTTCAGATTTTGAAGGTGCTGGTGTATTAGGCGAGCCTGGGCTTGCCAGCGACCAAGCGCTTTCTGAGGCCAGACAGGGCTCAGTATCGTAGTGCTTTTCTCTCCCGATGGAACATTTGTCCCTGGTGGCTAATCTCGAACGAAGGGATTTTAGTGGGCTTCGAGAGCGGGCTTCATTTCTAGACCCCGTAGAAGACTGTTGCCCAGAGTGTTTTTGGTTTTTACACAAAAGTATTGGTAAAAGAAAAGTATTTGAGGTTGTCACAAGAGGACAAGTCGCACGATAACACTACTGAAAGCAGTACGTTAAGTATAGCGAATGCTGAACTGAGCAAATGTCTTCGAGAAGGCACGGATTGGCCTTTGGATGAGGCCAGCACCAGTTCAGCACCTGCGACCATCAACAGGTACCAAAATTTTATTCAAAAAAAATTGAGAAACTCTATACATCAGGTCAATAGGGAAGCATTGGATTCCTTGACTTGAGTTTGCCTTCGGTCCACCCTCACCCAAGTTACCCAGCGCTTTTGTGCGTCAAAAGTTTAGGAAAAAAATGGGGTCTAGGATGAAGAGGTGCAGTCCAGATAAAGTGTGGTGTCTTCGTACTCCGGGAAGGTCCACGCGACAAGGCTCATACGTCACAACTACGCAAATGTCTGCCGCCTCGGCTGTTGTCCTGTTCTCTCAGCCTTTCTCTCCGGTTTATTTCTTGTACTGCATTGTCACCGGGTGTCAAATGAAGCCTTGCGGCGTTTTCAGCGGTCCTTCCGATATTCTTCACTGGTTAATTGCTCTAGATCCACGCCGATCTAATACCCAAGATCTGCGATCGTGAAGGGTGTGTCTGAGTACTTCAATTGTGATGTCGATACTTTGGCAGACGTAGAGTACGACCATGTTCGAGTGTGTAGAGTGCGAAAATTCGGCGATTTGCGGAATTTGGCGATTCGTGGGATTCTCGGCGATTTGAGAGATTGCGCTGTGAGGGATATAGGTATCGATCTGCCGACGGGGGCGAGTCGGCAATTCGGGGTTTTTGGCGACTTGGCGTCCTAGGCTATCGCGCTTTAAAGTAGCCGAAACTTCCTAATCGCCGAATCTCCTTAGTATGAACGCGGCGTAAATAACATTTTCTGCAGAATTTTGTATGGCTGACTCGACTCGTTGACTAGTAATGCTTAGTCATGACAAGACTCGCTCAGCTAAATCCACGCGTAGACGTACTGAAGTGTAGGAAGATGACAGGGAAGCTACTTGAGAGCGTTGTACCAAAACTAGCCTTCGAATAAAAGGGATTCTCAGCTCGACTACAGCGATCTGCTTAGAACACAGGGCCCCGGGAAAAAAAGCTGTAACAGACTTTGCTGGGCATGTTGACAAAGTTTTTTATCAGTATTGAGTTTCTAGATATAACAAGCTAATTGTGAATTCAGTCAGGAAATTTTGAGTCCTATGTGAGATTTCCCTACCACAATCAATATTTTAGGGAAAGCCTAAATTCGAAGCAATCACTACGGAATGCCTTGGAGCGACGGATACTGCTGAAAGAAATGCGAAGTCGAGATGGTAAAGAACCACGACGAGCACAGTGGACTAAAGATCGAGGTCGAGGCAGATTGCTAGTGAGTCTGTTTTCTTTTCTGAAGCTATTCATACCAACTTATTTTCTCAATTCCTGCCCAAATAAAATCAAATCCTCTATCGATTCTCACTCCCTTCATTGTTCCTGACTGAGACGTTGGCATTACTTCTAGTGCCATAAGATCCACCAAAATTATCCCGAACCATCTGTACTCATAAAAATACATTTGATTCCCATCAAGTGCAGTCCATATCAGACACCTGGGAAGGAGGTGTCTACGAACTTAGGCGTCAGGGCCAGGTAGCACATAGACAGCATGTGTATAAGAGAGCGTAGGAGTCAAAAGAAAGCTGGACGCATTTGATCTTCAAGAATGACAGTTACCCTAAAGGGACAGACAGCATTGGCCAGATAGGCCGACGCCGCAGCTTCCACAACGCAGCCCATAGGCACACCCCTCCATGTAAGAAGACGTGCCTATGGGTTAAGTTCTAGGTCAGGGACGCATAAACCGCGACGTTATTTTAACTAGGATAAGGCTTACTAAACGAATAAAGGTCTTGGGCCCATTGTTGTGCAAAATTTGACTTCATAAACACTAGACACCTAGAGCCAACCATCCGGCTAGGAACCTTGCCAGAAAGTACGAGCCCCGGAATCTCCTGAACAGCAACACCTACGCAGGTACGTGTCCTACGCTTAGTCCGCCATGACCCGAACTATTCTCGCACCAACGTAAGGATAGTTTGCCTTATCCTCCAGGAAGAAACCAACACAAAGACAGACGCATTCAGTAAAGAGGAACATCAAATTCAGTAATTTCTGATTCAATTGAGGTTCCTGTTTTCATTCTCACAGAAGACTGATGTAAGGGATAGCTGGTTCACACCATACCTTCATGAAGGGGAAACCCGTCGCCAAAGTACCCTTTGTAGATTCGATTCGGAGTATCTTACCGTTATCCCGCTTCTCAGCAACCGTGTGAAGCGTGACGGTATCGCAAACCGGGACAGAATCTCTTATACTGCAAGGCCTTGTCTCTATGGACGTATTGATAGGAACTGAGTCAGGAGGATGGTTTGGTGGTCGGCGCCAGCCCTTTCTGTCGGTTTTTTTTTCTTTCCGGCAGGGACAAGATTATCCGTTTATTCAGCCTCTGACACCCGCACATCCTGCGAGCGAACAAGTCGTAAATCTCTAAGAAATTACCATCGATCAACCTCCCCCCCGCCGCTTCCCTCTCTTGACCTCTCGCTAGCGACCCTTCTTCCTCATTATCACGCAAAACAATCTTTGTATTCTCAATTCAATTTATTTTTCATTAACCTATTCAGAGTGATGCTACCGGCGATGAAAAGTCGAAAGCCGTACGGTGGCAGAACGCTAAACAACACGGGAAATTACGAGCCGGACCTCTACTACGGGGCGAGACAGCCGAGATACCTATCGAATACGTCGACGGAATCCCAGTGGAGATATAAGGAAATCCACAGAATAATAAATATGAGGAAAATTCATGTTCATAGGTAATGGGGCACTGTCAGCTTCATTCAAAATGGATAGTCACTAATTCCTGTAAGGGGAAAAAAAGATTAATGTGAGGGTCAAGCGAGTGCGGAGGTGAAACGTAACTATCAATTTTAAGCAGTCTGGGAGTTTATTTTAACTGCATCAAGTTCCACATCTTTTTATTATCGTGGCTTACAAGGTGGCGAAACCACTAAAAAGAGTAGTGTACCGTAAAGGATCGATACCAGGTAACAGAAGCTCAGTAAGTTTTAATATTTTATTAGAATAACCTATACAAATCTTATCGAAAATGCCGTTCTCGATATCATCAAACACCCTATACAAATCTTATCGAAAGTGCCGTTCTCGATACGCATCAACTTCGCTGAGCGTCAGAGGTCCTCCAACCATTCTTATTCGGTCATCTTTTCTCTTTATCATGCTCTCGCAGCATTATCTAAAACCACTAATATTGAGATCCGCCGATAGGGGGGGGCAGTAACCTTCGCAGTCAGGCCTTTGAAAAGATGGACAAATGCTGAGACGTACCTCTGACTTGCTCGTGATTCGTTCCAAAAGCGCAGTCATACCTATATCCCAGTCCCATAACAAGCGGTGCAATGGGAATGGCAAAATCCTGAATATACTGAAAAACTTTACATATAGCATACTCGTAGTATTCGCTAACGGGGTCCAACAGACCTTTCTTTTACTGAAGGCACCGGCTGCTAGAAGAACGACTGCCATAGTGCCGATGCCAAGAAATTCCCATGTGAAGCGTTCTTGTCGTTCAATCAACTGAAAAAAACGGGAGATTACTATGATCACTAATGAAAATGCTTAGGCTGTAGCTTTCAAACCGACTGCCGCCACCCCCCCTCCCCCCGCCATCTTGGGTTATACTGCTTAATGGTATGGGAAACGGCCGAACGGCATAATTACACTAAACACTCTGACAGCCCCTGTGTGGCAGCTTGCAGGTTCTTCAGCACAACTTCGGCTTCAATCTGAACGAGAAAATTGGAAATGGCAGAAATTCATCATAACAAGCATAGGTGTGAGTAAGCAGGCCTAATCAGCATTGTGTCTCCGAAGGTCCAACCGCCCCCATCCGCTGTGGTGCCCCTAAAAACCAGCCTAGAAGAAATATTGAACGCAACCAGAAACGTCCTCCATGCTGGAAACATTGCTCGTTTAGCACAAATCAGGAACGTCAGACTTTGGGGAGGCGCTGTAACTGCATATCAGTGGCAAACAGCGATCCAAAGAGCTGACGTAGCCGCGGTCGGGATCAATCGCCTGCTGTTTAGGAAGACCGCACTTCCAGTCACGCAGTCGTAATATCCCCGGCACAACCCGACATACGACGACAACCCAATTGATTCCTAGTCCGCGGCGCGTTTCGTCGTCATAGGACTGGAGCACCGTATCAACTGTAGCGCGTCAACGCGTGCCATCGCGAAGTATAAACGCTGCCCAAAGTCACCCGGGAGTACCTGACTCATTACAAAGGCAAACAGTTCTGGTTGACATCCAAACATGCGAGAGAGCCAGTGTGACATATCTGTGATGATAGACTCATCGGACAAAAAAGACAAGTAGGGCGCAGTTTGGTTTGGTGGAGGCACCATATGGTGCTCAGCTGAGTTCGCACAAGATGCTTGGTTAACACCGGTAGATTCCTGTAAACAGGCAGGCGCACTAATCATTTGGCAGTTTACAGATCTCACCAAAGTCAGACCTGTTGGTTGACAGAATCTAGGAAAAGTGCAAAATATCTCTGCTTCATCTAAACCGAACGGCGCCAGAATACGCTAATCCCCTCTGAAGTGGTGTTCATACTATGCGGACAAGGAGAGTCCACTTGAGAGAATCTGCGACTCCAGAAAAATCGGTAAACAGGAGTCAATTCCGCTGACATTCCTCTTTCGAACTGGTTTATTCGTCATGACGTCAGTGGGCAATTCTGTGAACTCGTTTGAGCATAATTTTTCGAAATCGGGGAATTGCAAATCGCAGATTCCCGCAATCGCAAAGTATGAACGAACGCGGCTCAAGGATTTAGCTTCAGATTTAGCTCATTTCAACCGGATGGATTGTTTCATCAGGAAAAAAAAACAGATCTACGACGAGATGGTTTTTTACATCACAATCAGAAAAAAACTTACAAAATCATCATTGAGCATTTTGAGCTCCGCAGCGTTACTTCCTCCTGTGGATATCGTTTGTCCCATCTGAAACATAGAAGGAGCGCGATGACACCTTACGAAAGCTCAAATGAAACTCGTAGAACAAAGAGAAAACAGAATCGCCGCTGTAACGGCTCAGTTCACTGGGTCGATACAATAAATGTCGGTTTATTATACACTGTCATTCTTAATGCTTGGCTAAAACGTAACAAAGTGAAAAACGAGTATTAAAACAGTAACTATTAAAGTTTCAGTAATTAGTAACTACCTATAGCAAAAGTGTGCACCTTGAATTAGGCAAAGTGACAGTACATCAATGACGTCACAAAAACAAGTCCTCTTCCCGTTTCAGTTCTTTCAGTTCCTTCATTCGATTTCGTACATCCTGCACTGAGGGTGGAATAGGAGCTATGAGATCTACGTCACTTTGAAGAAGTTTCTCAGCAGCCTCTGAAATTCGATTGTTTCTTGAAGCAGACGGAAAATAAAGCTAGGACAGACCGTTGATTATATTTGTTTTATTTCCGTAACAGTAATGTGCTTTATAGCCCAGGTAGCCTATGGTAGGGAACACTGGTAACAAGGGCAACATGTTCCTGAAAAAAGTTAAACGCTGATTGAAGAAGCAAAACAAAAAAGTTGTTCCGAGCTGCGTTCATACTTTGCGTCGGCGTTTTGAGCGCGCGCGAAACGCTCAAAACGTAAGATCGATATGTATACTTCCCTTGTCGTTCAAAACGCTGCCGTGCGCTCGAAACTGACGCAAGGTATGAAAGCGACTCACTTGTGGTGATATGAAGCGAGTGCGCAGAACACCATCATAATGCCTCCACCTGAAGCAATCCAGTTCAACTTCTCGCGTTCCTCAGCGAGCTGAATGAGATTACAGTAGTACGAAGGAACAAAAAGGGCCCTTCTGTAAGGATCTAACGGCCAAGTCTTAATTGAGTAAGCATAAAATTGTTGCTGTAATCTGGAGAAAACCGTAGCATTAATGTAACATAGATAAGCGGCCTAATAGGTTGCCTGCTAAGAAATACATGACGTACTATCGACGTCACATGAC